CATTTCGCAACACTTCTCTTAACTTGCACAGGTGTGGTGCTCTGCAGTGGATTCAGTGCTATTTCTCTTATCTTTGAATCGACTAGTGAAGACAAAAAGGAGAGTTGAGAAATAGCTGGAGGAACCTGTTGTAGAAATTCTGTGAATAGGGCATTACCCTTTGCCAACAGATTGTTAAAGTGTTAACAGCAGGGGAGAGACAAAAACCAACAGGAGATAAAACAGAGAAAGATGGTGCATCTAGATAGAACAATAAAATGTGTGGAAGATATAGAGGCTGATGAAGATGGTCAGACAATGAAGGGGCTGGAGAGACAGATGATCATCTGCTCAGTTATAGCTGTGTCATGTGCTGTGCAGCGCGAGCACTGCACGGCACTGCACCTCTGCTGCAGAGGGATTCTGTTTAAGCACATTACATATGGCGCATTTAGGATTTTCACTCATGGTCTTGTAAGTCAATGATGTGTGAAACTGCATTTGTTAAAGTTAAAATTCATCATCTGTGAAGAGCAACTGAGTTTAGCAGTTTAAATACAGCGTGGACCAAGATATCTTGGACATCAACCAGGAGCTAAGCTGTGCTCGAGGCCCTGCATGGAGCCAAAGCAAACAAAGAGAAGACCTGTCGTTGTACTCCTTCAGGATTAGTCTTTTCTGTGCCTCCCCACAAGAGTTGCACCTCACCAGTACAAGAGTTAACTCCAACACAGTCCCTTCCACCATTGCACAGTAAAGCTCATGACTAAAAGATGACAGTGATACTGAGGTGAGTTGAAGAGGATTTGCTGTAGTTTTTTCTTGGTAAGTGCCGATGTTTTTGCTGCTATTTAGCCACTGTTAGCTGCTGTTAACTGCTGGTGACTGTGATAGGGAAACTGTACTCTGAGTTTTGTTGAGTAAACTCTTCTACGACATGAGAATGTAGTCAAACTGTTTTTAGAGGGAAAAAGTGATTTTTAGGACGCTTGAGGCTAAAATTAGCAAGACTAATGTTAGCTTATAGCTAACGTCTTTATGCACAGAATCTATTCCACCATCAAGAAACCAAATGTGTCTTTCGGTGTGAAATGAATTCAGCTGTACGGTCATTATAGGTATTACACAGACTTTATTACAAATGTCAAGACTTGTCAAGACTAAGCAGTTAGTTATCCGGTCGTTAAGTGATGACGTGACGAATCCTACTTCCGGGCCTAAAGTAGTCTG